TCTGTCTGTCTGTCTGTCTGTCTGTCTGTCTGTCTGTCTGTCTGTCTATCTCTATATTTATTTGTGTGTTTCTGCCAGTAGAAAAAGAGGTGACATCGGACCTGCGCATCGGGAAGGTCATTGTGTTTGCGGTCTGGCGGACCGTTTCACCGTTTCGGACCCTTCGTCAACCGGACCCTTCGTCGACCTGAGTCGGAGCTCAAGCAGCTCAAGCATGCTACACACACCACCAGTGCAGTCGTGGCCATGTTCATCCGTTTTGTATTGAAGCAGTGCATTGTGACACCTTCACTGAGACCAGAAGCCATTGATCAGGCACTTGTGGTGGGTCCAACAGCACAAATAGGAAAAGTTGTCTTTTGGATTCTTTTGGTGGAAACATGTCCTTCCCGCAAAAAAGACCAAATGAAGAGCAACAAGAAATAGTTTGACTCTGTCGAAAAATGTGCGAATCGGCCGTGATCTGGCAGGATCGGATCTCCTGTGACCACATCCACATAGGCTGCCCCCAGTCGTCCATCACGAGGACAAATGACAGCTTCGCCCTTCCGGCGAATCACCTTCTCCACCGTGTAGACCGGTTCATGGGGACCAAGTCCACTCGCGACCACCTGTTCGACTCTAGACTCCGTCTGCTGTTCACGCAGCAGAGCAGGTCATCAAAAGCTGATGAGTTCAATTGGGGCTTTTCTGAGCCATGGAACAAGAAGCTACTAGTCTGAATCAGTTCCACATGAGTCCTGCTACGCGCAGAAAGTCTGCGCAGAAAGTCTCGCTTAGTGTATAGCTCCTCTCTGCCTGTTTTTTTGACTGGAGAAGTGTCCACAAACAAACATATGATTGAATTTCTGTCTACAGATCTTGTGAAGGAGCTCAAAAGTATGAAACCCCAACGACCAGCGCCCAGACCTCGTCCAAGAAGGTGCTGGCGAAGTAGCTGCTGCTGATGCCCCTCGTCGGGTCGCCCGGCAGGTTTGCACTGGGCCAAATGGACACGGAACGCAGACATTTGCAGAACATGGCGACAGTTCATGACGTGCAGATGCGGAATCCATGCGTCTGGAAGTGGGCATACCCCTGGGCTTTTCCACCAGCCACGAGACTCAACTTCTAGCCGATGTGGATTCTGTGCGAGGTCTGTTGCCACCAATGCTCCCCCAAACATGTTGCTGTCCAGAAATGCCATGGTTCGAAGGTTCACGGAAAGCATTTAGAGGTCCCATGCGATCCATGTGAAGCTATGCGATGCGGCCCAAATCCTGAAAGTTCCTCTGAGAGGCGGAGTTTGTCTTGGCCAGTTGATTGGTCAAAACAGCATTGGCCTTCGCTTGCGTGTTGTTCCAGCTTCTTTTGCTGTCATCTTACCAAAGAGAACTAAGCAAACCAACTGGTTGGAGCCAATGGCTCGGCTGCGAAAAGCTCCAAAAAAAGCTGGGGTAAGACGTGACTTGCCGTCCCAACGTGGTTTGGCAAAAGAAACGTTGTGTCTCTTTGCACGCATGCAATCTCTTGTGTGCAAAATCTTGGAATCAGCACCACTCATGGTCTGGCAAGCGCAAAGAGATCTGGCATGGTCTGAAGGAAAATTGGATTCGAAGCGACACACCGTAGATATTGTCCCCAAAAAAAACCGTGGAATTGATAAGAAAAGCACGCGTTCGCCAGTCCTGTGGAATCGGAAGTGGAAGGATGACACCCGCGAGCAGAATCGCTCCCGATGTTCCCTGCGTGGAAACCTGGAAACCTGGTAAACGTGCTGTGCAACTCGCGCCTAGACGCACTTTGTTGTGCTCAAGATGGACCTCCAGTCGCTGTCAAACCGGAGCGGGGGGAATTGGTTCGGGTCAAATCAGGGTACACCGCTCCAAAAACATCACAGGTGGACCATCTTTCACGAAGTGTAGCTTATTTGCGAGGTCAAGAGGCTTCGATACACGGCGAACGCATCAATAGGAACAATATAGAGACTTCCCACCTTCAGTGATTGTCCATTGATTTGGAAGTTGACCTGTTCTAGCGGCCTGTGAGCGGTGCTGGAGGGCACAGAGCAAAATTCTCAGAGGGTCTCGCCCACAAAGGGTGCCTCGAGCCGCAGGCCATCGCAAGTAGCCGATAAATCCTACCCTTGGGTGGCCCACAAAACAACGCAGAGGATCTTTGGGTCCCGTCTGGTGGAAAAACAATGCAATGCTGGCAAAGCAACAGGGCCTTCGGACGTCGTTTTCAGGGGGTCCGTCCACCTCTTGCTCCTTTGTTGAAACAAAAAACAAGAAGCTCCATGCAAGAATGCTCTGCTCAGGTACCTGATGCCTTCGAAGTGCATCACGCACTGCCATTCTGAAGTATCCTGGCAGTTCGGAGATGCTCCCGGGTAACAAGCCCAACCCTCTTCGTGTGAAACAGAAAGGTCAAATGGATAAACAGGCAATGTCTTGAAACCAATCGTGCGGTTGTCCAGAGCCTTGTTTCGGAGCGCATTTCAGGAATTCCATGATGCCTATATCACTTTTAGAACGCTAGTAGCAACAAGTGCCACGCTAGGAGTAACAGGTGCCTTACTAGTATAGTAACAGGTGCCACGCTAGTAGAAACAGGTGCCTTACTAAACAAGGACGCTAGGTTGGAGGCCATCGCTAGTGGGTTGGAGGCCATTACTAGGAACAAGAAGCTACGAACGTCTATCCAAGACTCGATTCCTCGACTGAGGGTCGATGTGCCGCGCGTGTGTTTTGCGACCACGGATGCAAAGTTCATTGGCACAAGATTGGGACATATTGGAACATTGCTTTGGCCTGGAAATCAAAGCGTACAAGCTCCTAAACACTTGGATGATCATCGTGCTTGATGGAAAATGAGGCAGAAGCACAAGTTAAACTACGGCTGGGACCCTTTTCATCCAAGTATTCAAAGGAGATTCAAAGCAGTGGAAGCTGGTGAGACCTAGACCTCACCCCCAACTCGGCCTTAGTCCAGTCGCGATCACGACAAGAGGGTGGAATGTCTGGATGACCCTGTGATCTTATGAGCGCTTCCGCTGGGATTTTTGCAGCTTTGCAGCTTCTGGCACTTGAAAAATGCTTTGCCACTTGCCCTTGGGCTACCAAACGTTGTGCAGCTTTCTGCGCTTTCTGCAGCTGCCATTCAGCACGGGCCATTTGGGGTGAGCCCATCTCTACCTAGTGAGAGGTAGAAGAAAGCTCCACTTCTCTGCCATCTTTTGTCACTTTATGTGATCAGACTTTCAAAGTGAAAAATCATCTCAATTCATGTGTCATTAGCACAACCTAAAGACATGGCATCAAAAGTCGAAATTAGATGAAATTAGGGAGGCCATCTCTATCACCATGTTCTTCGCTGGCCTCTCTTAGGTTTGGAGGCCGTGCCTCGTCCAAGCTTCCGGTCTCTGCCTGTGGCGAGTTCAATGCCACCTCCTTGGAGCACCGAGCCGGCGGAAACGCTTTTTCATCACACCGAGGACGGGCTCACCGTGCAAGACCCGATTTTCTGAGAGATGTCCGAAGTCAGTTAGAGAATGAGTAGCTAGAAGCGTAGAAGCTACTAGCAAGGGCAGATTCAAAGGTTCAACGAAGTTCGGCGTCCCGACATCACATCGCACAGGAAACCTTTCATCTCAGGCCACCACTTCTACCTGTTCCCTCTTGCCCTCAACCTTCCAGCGGCAACTCGGAATCCGACGACCGGAAGTCAAGACGCCTGCAACTCGAAGCCGTTGAACGGAACGGTGCGGCCACGTGGGCTGTCTTGAAGATAGAGGAAGTTGCAGCCTTTGAATGGAGGAAACATGAGACAAGAATTAAAGAGAAAAAGAACACCGTCTCGAAGAAGGTACCTAACCCACAAGTGAGAATTTTGCCTTTAAAAAGGCCTTCGATAGACACAAAAGTGATACAAATTCACACAAAACGGAGCTACGAAACGTGTGAAAGGAGTCTGAACTCGTAGCCATGGGATGCCTGAACTCCGCCGCCAGGCGACAAGCCGCCTCTGTCGGGTTCACGGGCGCGGGAACGCGCTCCACGGGTAGCATCGGCTTCTCCTGGAGCAGCGCCACCCGCTTCGCGCCGCTTCGCGCCGTCCGAAGTCGTCTTTCTCCATGCTGCGATCCGCCAGTGATGGGCCAAAAAGTCATGAATTTCATGGCTTTCGACGGGGCCAGGGGATTCTTACGGCTCCCACTTTAAAGGCTTGTCATTTCACAAGGATCGTTTCAGATGGTTCTGCGGTGATCCCGATGGATTGATCTCGGCCAGCCAAATCATTCGTCCCTGCCTTGGCCTGCGCTTCCAGGACCAGGACCTCCGCAAAGTGCGAAACAAGAAACCCTCAAGAGAAACTTGATAGAAAAAGGCAAAGATCTGAATTCTGAGTGATTCAATGTGATTCATATTGAAATAAAAACTTGCTTTGGATCAAAGAAAATTCATTCTTCGCCTTGCTTTGGATCCTTTGGATGTCCTGTCCGTGGCTGATGACCTGCGAAGCCACAAGCACTAAACCTTCGAGAGTGTTCCTTCTTGCTCCTAGTAGCGATGCCCTTTGTTCCGTTCGTAGCTTCTTGTTGCTAGTAGTAAGGCCAGGAGCCCCTAGTAGCTTCTTGCTCCTAGTAGAGATGCACTTGTTTCTAATAGCTTCTTGTGACTACTAGTAAGGCACCTGTTACTACATCCAAAGACCGAAGGCTGTGACCCACAAGGTGACCAGAAGGCTTCGGTGGGACGTTTTTCATCGAGCCATCGCTCTGGGCTGAAGAGTCGTTTGCGGCACTGGAGTTTGAGCTGAAAGTGCTGCCCAACTCTGAGTTGGGTAGCTGGTCCTGGACGGTTGGAGCAAATTTGTTTCGTTTCATAGGAGAGGTGGAGCGCAGGGCCGATGTCTTTCTGAGCTGTCATCTCACTAGTGCTGATTGCAAGATGGTCTAAACCTGGCATTTGCAGTCAGTACTTTCCACGGCCTGAATGAGTACAAAGTATGAAACGTCGGCGTAGTTAGTTGATGGGTGTGTGGAAATAAAGCTGTGAGCGAAAGCTTTGGTTTGAGCATCCTACGTGTTAGGTTGGCTGATGACCTGCAAAGCCACGTTCAAGACAAGTTTCACCCTGTAATGAAATGCTGAAGTGGTGAAAATGGACATTGGAGGTGTCAAGGGGCGCTATTGGCAGATCCACGGCGCAAGCCTGTACAGCATAGGCTAGCTCGAAGCTTGGTAAAGCGCATGGGCAGGCAAGGATGGAGTGTGGTGCAAAGAGCGCAGGCAGATGAATGAATGCAAATGACTACAGAAGAGGAGGGGACGAGAAAGCAAAGAAGATGCTTCAAAAAGAAGCAGAAGAGAGTGAGAGGGCGAAAGAGAAGGTGATTGGGACGAGGAGGGAACAGAAGGCAGAGGACCAAAAAAGAGAGCGGAGAAGCGTGGAAGGTAGAACCAAACCAGAAAGACCAAGAGAACAAAGAACGAAAGAGAAAAGAACAGAAGAAGAGGCGCAGACGGAAAAAAACATGAAAGAGAGTAGAAGAGGAGAATTTGATGGACAAAAAAACCAGACTGAAAAAAAAAACGTTTGAACCATTCGCTTCGATCGCTTCGACTGTCCGATTTCGCGAAAAAACGACGATGCCTTGGGCGTGATGTCCTTCAGCTGGGTCACCAGAGCGCTCACGTGAGGAGTCAAAGACTGACGTGAGGGCGCACGGCAGGCTGCTTCGGTGCCCAATGGTGTGCGTGTGACTCGGCTGAAGGTGGAAAATGAGAAGAAGCTGATGGAAAGTTGAAAGCAAGAAACGCGCAGAAGTCCTGTTTGCTAGTGGAAACTCGCTTAACTCTTCAAACATGAGGTCTGCACTGCTTGTTACAGGTCGGACCTGGACCCATGACGGCCTGCAGCCCTCCCAAGCCAGTCGCCTGCTCCGACTCCAAGGCCTGCAGCTTGAGCCACGGATCTTTCAAGAAAAACCTATCCTATCGATAACACTGTTCTCTAGTTACCTGAGATTTTTGGTATGATCTATCTATATCTATATAGAGAGAGAGAGAGAGATCAATCTCGAAGACTTGCTGACATGCTTGATTCTCGACTTCTTGATCCCAAAATAAGCATCGCTTTGAGCACCAAACAAGGCCTCGTGGAGCTCTGCTTTGAGCTCGGTGACGGCGGACTGCAAATGAGCTTCCAGCTTCTCCACCCGATTTTGCAAGTGTAGCACAGGTGCCTTGCGCAAAATGGAAACGGATTGATAGGAAATCCCAGGCCTTCAAAACAGTCAGGTTCAACCAAGTGGAGATCTCACAGCTCTCATCAAGCTCTCAGCTCTCAAGTCTGAACCCGGTCTTTTGTGCTCACAAAAGCCTCATGACAAAATTGTCTCATATTGTCTCCTTGTCTTACTTGTAGGACCTATAGATGTGTGCCTGCAGCAAAGAGCTCTCCTTCTCCTTCTCTTCAACTTGTGGCAACCTTGCACCACGCGTGAAGCTGCAGAACATGTGACCACGATAGGTGTGTCAATAAAACAACTCATGACACT